ACATTTGTGACTACGTTGGATTAGGTGAATATTAACATTAAGTTTAAAATTAATAATTCTTGAAAATTTCAAAATTTTTAAAAATTAAATCATACCGTAAATATAAATATTTTTCAAAATTAAAAAAAAAAATCTAAAATTGGAAGAACGAAATTTGCAATTTAAAAAATTTACAGACCAAATTAACGCAAGGCCCAAAATAGATATTAAATAAGCCCAATAAGGTTTAAATGGGCCTAACCGTTTTGGCGATAAAATATGGCATATTCCTCAGCATGTTATTCTTACCTGCCCTCGTCGAATTTTAAAATCACAGACCAATTGCCTTCCGTTCGTTAATCGAGATCCGGGGACAGTTTTAAATGTTTATAATCATAACTTAATTTTATATATTTTTTTTCATTAATATTTTTTAGTTATTGAATTTTATTTTCAACAATTATTTTAATTATTATAATATTGAAAATTTGTGGACAATTAATTAATTTAAATAATTTAAATTAGTTAATAAAAAATTACATAAATGACTATAAACATTAAAAATGAAAGTGGAAGACAAATGTGTGAAATTCTTTAAATATGCAAAACAAATGAAAATTAAAGTAAAAAAACAAATAAAAATATTACACAAAAAAATTAATACCTAATTTATCTATTATCTTTCCCTCGTAAATAATATTATAATATTAATATAGTGAAAATTATAAAAATTTGAAATATAAAAAATAAATAAAAACTATATTAAAAATTATGTAATTTTTAAATTTATTTATTTTTTATTTTTTTAATGGTTAACTAATTTATTTATTATCTGAGTCTGGCGCTCTTCTCATCAATGAAACAAAGAACAATATAAATATTAATATTGAAAAATCGAAGTCCCACGAGACTCGCAGATCTGCTCTTTCTTCGCCTCCTTACCTCCGAATCTCCATTTTTCGTGCTCCTTGAGCTTCAAATCTTACTCCAAGGTTAGACCCTGGTTGTTCGATTTCCATTAATCTTCTTTTTTCCCTGTTCTTCAATGTTGATTTTTTGATTTGGGGTTTTTTTAAAGATTTGTAATCTTGCCTTTGTTCGAGGATGAATTTGACTTTCTTAGCTTTTCTAGATGTGTTTCCATTTCTTCTCTTGTTTATCTTGCTTTGCATTTGAGGTATACTGTTTTTTTTTTTTTTTTTCCCTAAATTTCTTTTGATTGTCGATTTCTAGGGCGTGTTCATTTCGGATCTAATTGTGTGGAACCCTAATGGTATCTGTTGCTTTGTGTTTCAATTAATTGGTGGAATCCCTTTGAAGGTTGTTTTTTTGCTTCTAGGATCTCGAATGTTCAATGTATTGGGGTTATTTTCCCGTCATTTTCTAGAGCTTATCAACTTTCAACATGCATATTTTTATGGATTTTATACCAAAAGTGCAAGGAGTTGAATAATTTGTATGGGTCATATGCAGATATTGGAGGTTTTAATACTCAATGGACGGTATAGGAGGTGAAACTGCCTCAGCGGCAGCACCATTGAGTCAGTGGCAACATGATATTTCAAGGCTTTATCAATATTATCTGGATAAGACTACCCCACATGCTGTCTACAGATGGATTGGAACCCTTTTTGTAGTGGCAATTTATGCTTTGAGGGTCTTCTATATTCAAGGGTTCTACATTGTTTCATATGGTTTGGGTATCTATATACTCAATTTGTTGATTGGATTTTTGTCGCCCTTGGTTGACCCGGAGATGGAAGTTTCGGATGGACCTTTGCTGCCAACTAAAGGTTCAGATGAATTCAAGCCGTTCATTCGCCGACTTCCAGAGTTTAAATTTTGGTAACTAAGGAACTTCGATCACGAGCTTTGCATCACTTACCTGTTTGTATTTGGTTGGTAAACTTTGAAGCTTGCTTTTATGTAGTTTCGTCGTTTTAAATCCGATTTTCAGTATTTTGTATATCTATTGTGTCTAGTCTGGGACTGAAAACTTTTCTAATATTGGTTCCTTTGGTCAGGAAATGACACAGTGAGGTGTGCATTATTTGGTTTTCTGGTGAAAAAATCTGTGTGCATTTAGTAATCTTTGTTGATTGGGTTTGCTCTTTATGCATGTGGAATGTTTGACATCCCGACACGGTCATGCTTCTTTTTCTGGCACCGTCCTACAGCTTACTTACATAGTTCATAGCCCACGAATTAGGATGTAATGGAACAGGAAAATGCATTTTCCTTTGGGCTTAGTAATTTGAACTAGACAGGGAAAATATGGTTATCGTTTAGAAAAAGTTTGCCTACATATTTGTTGGTTCTCATTTAAATTTTGATAGTTTTCGAAGAATCTAGTCTCATTGGACCTTTTTAACTTTTATCCCTTTTTCTCTTTTTAGTTTCTGTTCCGTTCGTTTTCTTTCTACAAGCTTTCTCTCTGGATAAAGCTCCCGAACGTTATAGACGTCACTCAGGATGACAATGGTTCTAGAATTTTAACCTCTTTAATGGGTAATGCTCTCAAATATTGTGTAGGGGCTTTGTGAAGTAGACATATGAGATAATTGCTACTCCATTTTGCACCTTGAGGGGAAGGCCCTAATAAGCATCACCAGTTTACCCTTTAACCGAAAGACCTCCCTTGATCCTTGGAGCTTTCTCCCTTTCATTATGAATTTGTTTGGAAGAGCTCTACCAACCCTTTCAGATCATGCAAGGGTGTGACACTTGTGTTACTAATTATGCCAATTTCTTATTTGTGGAATTTGCTACGGACTTTAGAAATGTTTAATTTGCCTCATGGTTGATTGATAGTTATCGTTCCCGCAAAATCTTACTCGCGTGTTTATGCAGCTCTTTTTCTGTTATATTTCGATTCTTCATTGAGACAATTGAAAAAGATATTCGTTCTAATAGCTTAGCACACTCTTTGTTAATACTTTTGAATTTGAATGCTCCAAGTTTTTGTTCATTTCTCATAAAATGAAAATTTGTGTTTGTAGGTACTCTTTTACAAAGGCCTTTTGCATTGCCTTCGTAATGACCTTCTTTTCCATATTCGACGTGCCCGTCTTCTGGCCTATCTTACTTTGTTACTGGATTGTCCTTTTTGTGCTGACAATGAGGCGTCAGATTTCACACATGATCAAATACAAATACATTCCATTTAGTCTTGGAAAGCAGGTAACTCATGAATTACTTCTTATACATACCGTTTACGTTTGTCCGACCTTATAATGCCGTGATTTACATATGTAGTTAGAGTTGTTAGCCTTGTTCTTGACATGTCTTCTGCCAAGGAAACAAATATTCAAACAAAACATTTGATAATTTACAGAAGTACGGTGGGAAGAAACCTTCTGCAGGTAGCAGTATCTCCAACAACGATTGATTCATGGCTCCCTATTATTTACAGCAATTAGTACAAGTACTGAAGGGAGGAAGAAATTAGAGATTTGGATATTCATAGTAGCAGCAAATTTTTTCATTGAAGTTACTTGTAGTTAAGTTTGCATATGGATTTAAATCATTGATGGTATGATGCACAACACATGGCTATGCCAAATCCTTTATGATAACTGAAGAACTGCTGTTGTAGAAATTCCCAGTTTAATACCGGTTCGTTCGTTCTTCGCAGGATGCCATTTGAAATTTTCGTTTCCTGTTTTCGATTCCCCCTCCCACCCCCTTTTTTGCCCTTCTGTGGAAAATTTAAGCTGATTGTTGCAGTGTTCTTGTAGAATTCCCCAATCATATGTGGGTGGGAACTTTGTGTGATTATATTGATAATGATGTTGTTGAGAGTATTCATTCTGTATGAACAGAGTCATGACTGAAGGTGAAGGCATCAAAAAAAAGGTAACAAAATTCTTTAGAATTGTCTTTTCTTTGTAGATAATTACGTATGATGCACGATTTTGAACGAGAGAAAGAAGTGATATCCTCTTTTCGGCTTTGACTCATTTAGTCCACTCATTACTTTTCTTTTTGTTACTTCGAAAATAGCTCTTTCGGCTTCAACCACTCGAATTTTCGATATTCCTTTTTATTTATCATCAGATTTGAGCAATGTTATGTGATAATTTATTTGTAAGTGGCATATTAAATCATTTTAAATGTTTGAGTTTAGACATTTAAACCATGCTATTGAAGAATCGTATTTTTTAAGTACAAAATTAATATCTAAATATTAAAATTTTAGAGTTATATTCTACTTTATTAGTTTCTATAATAGTTCCTAAGAGGGCAGGTTTTCATAATGATATTTATTTTATTATTTGCAATATAAATTCAATAAATTATAATAACTTTCTAAATGGACTAATTTGTTACAAAATTTAGTAAAGGGAAAAAAACTTATTAATCAATTAAATGATATTAACACATCATTATATTGTTTATAAAATATTTTTGGTTCTTAAATTTTAATGAAAATAAATAATTTAATTCGTAAATTTTAGCCGTTGCTAATTATTAATATTAACAATTTTATCTTTAAATTTTAACGTGTATAAAATTGTAATTATTTAATTTTTACCCCGAGTAATTTCATCAAAAGCAATCTCTATAAATACATTTAACCCCTAATAATTGTGATTTATAGGTAATAATTTCCATTAACAATTTACTGAAGTTTTTTTTCCAAAACAATAAGTAACATATTAAATTATAATATATTAAATTTCAATGACTAAATTATTACCAATTGAAAATGAATTTGATAACCATTTAATTATCTTTTTTACGTTTTTTAAAATTTAAACTCATATATAAAGTATATATAATAATTTTTTTATTTTATTATATTATTTTTACGAATATTTTTAAAATTTAAATGTTTGGTAAAAAGAAAATAAATAAATAAATAAATAAAACAGGAAAACCCCAAAACCCCGAAGCGGTTCACTGTCTGTGCGAGAGCCTAATTCGGAGGACCAATAAAACCCTCAAAACTCTCACTCTTCTTCAAAACCTAGAGGCCTCTCAGCCCATCGCCGGCAAATCCTCCAACTCCCAATTCCGCCATGGGCAAGGTCAAGGGAAAGCATCGTTTGGACAAGTACTACCGCCTTGCCAAAGAACATGGCTATCGCTCTCGTGCCTCCTGGAAACTCGCCCAGCTCGACTCCAAATACAACTTCCTCCGTTCCTCCCATGCCGTCCTCGATCTCTGCGCCGCCCCTGGTGGTTGGATGCAAGTCGCCGTTGAGCGGGTTCCCGTTGGTAGCCTCGTTGTCGGTGTCGATTTGGTTCCTATTGCGCCCGTTCGCGGTGCGCTCGCTATTGAGCAGGATATCACCAGGCCGGAGTGCAAGGCGAGGCTCAAGAAGATTATGAATGAGAAAGGATGTGCTGCTTTTGATTTGGTCTTGCACGATGGGTCGCCGAATGTTGGTGGAGCTTGGGCGCAGGAGGCTATGAGCCAGAATTCGTTGGTTATTGATTCTGTCAAATTAGCTACTCAATTACTGGCTCCTAAGGGTACATTTGTTACCAAGGTGGGTTTTCTCATTTCTTTGAGTCTTTCAATGGTTCTCTAGTTAGTTTACAATCAATCAAGTCCCAGGTCTATCGTGGTTTTCAATATGAAATCTTAGGATACTTCCTTTTTTTATCATATAATGAGTTAAGTAAATTTTGTTCTTTCATTTTCCTTTAGGTTCTGCTTGCAATTTATTACATTCATTGATGAGTGGAGATATTTTTTTGGTCCTACATCTGTTTACTTCTCAAAACTCTAAAAGTAGACCTGAGATGAGGGATTTAGAATTTGGATGTTAATTTTGAGCTAATTGGGCTGTACTGGTGTGGTTGTTTATTTGCTGTTTCATTTTCAGGTTTTCAGGTCACAAGATTACAGTTCTGTCCTATATTGTCTCAAGCAGGTAAGTTTCCACACTAATCTGATGTCACGGTCATTTGTTACTGTCTATCTGATATCTGTATGCGTTTGAATGGTGTTACAGTTGTTTGAAAAGGTCGAGGTGGATAAACCAGCAGCAAGTCGATCTGCATCTGCTGAAATTTATGTTTTGGGTCTTAGGTATAAGGCTCCTGCAAAGATCGATCCTCGTCTTCTTGATGTGAAGCACCTATTTCAAGGATCTGTAGAACCCCAACGGAAGGTAATTGTTGCAACATTCAAATCGAGCTAACAATTTACATGTGTGGTGTCTTATTCATGTAGTTGGTTTGGATGCAATTCAACATTTCGTTAATATGTTACTTAAAACTATTTTTTGTGTAGGTTGTGGATGTACTTAGAGGAACAAAACAAAAGAGACATCGTGATGGGTAATCCTTCATCTGTTGGACGTGTTTATGTGTTTATTGTTTGTTTATGCTCATGTTTGACTTATGATTTATATTACCCAAAAGTGGAGTGCTTGCTGCAACTATTGAACATTTATAATTTCGAAAGACCCGAGTACTAAAGGGGTTTGCAAGGAGAGAGTAAATTTCCAACTGTCTTAGGTACAAACCATGGTAGCATGAGTGGAAAGGGTGCTAGTTATGTTCATCTTTTTACTGGGAAAGGATTATTCATCTGTGCAGAGATAGGGAACGCCAAGAACGGTTGCTGATTTATTTTAATTTTGTTTTAGTAATAACTTTGGGTGTTCCGGGGGGGGATCACTGGTGATCATCTGTCATCCTTTTGCCAGTGAAGGATTATTCATTTATTTATTTGTTGTGATGATAGGTATGAAGATGGAGATATGACTCTTCGGAAAGAATCTTCTGCATCTAATTTCATCTGGTCAGATTCTCCTCTTGAGATACTAGGAACTGTTACTACTATAACTTTTAACGATCCTGCTTGCTTGCCGATTAAGGATCATGAATTAACAACCGAAGAGGTATTGCATATTTAGCATTTGTTATTTTCTTCAAGGTTTCAATCATCAGCTGGAAACCTTATTTACTAAAAGCCTATTCTATAACAGGTTAAGACACTGTGTGATGATTTGGGTGTCTTGGGAAAGCAAGATTTTAAGCATCTGCTGAAGTAAGATTCATACCCTAGATACTTGTATTTAAGTCTTTTGATTTAATTTTTTTTTTTTTTTTTTTTTTTTTTGGGTATCTTTCTAAATGATATTTATGTTCCTATAAATATAGGTTAATTTGTATTTCAGCCCTTGAACTTCTGCTTGATGTAATGCAGTCTTTAGATGTTGGATAGGATTAAAATCATGACTTCTTTGGGGCATCAAAATTTGAACTTTTCAGTTGCTGGTCTTATGCTCATTTGTTTGGTTGAATGCACACACAGCAATGAACACACTCATTCCTAGGATATCGAATTCTTACAATGAATATATCAACTAGTTTTAAGGAGTATGGATATAGATATTTATTAACTAGTTTAAGAACTATCTTTGTCTGTCTTACAAAATTGGCCCCACATGTACCCATAAATATTGCCCCCTCCTAACAAAATTATTAACTTCTCATGGTAGCCCTAGTAGCCTTTATCGTAGTCTTCATAATCTAGATTGGGGGTGATGCATTCCTATCATAGACGTAGGGCTGCGTGGGGCTATATATCATTAGGCTCATGGTTAAGTATTGTTCACGTTTTGTTTCGCCTGTTAGGGCCATATAGTGTGGACAATAAAGGTTGATTTACTGTAATGGTGGTTATGCAATTCTGTGACATTTCTCTGATAACTTCAAGATTTTGAAATCTTTTATAATTCATCATTTAGGTGGCGATTGCACATAAGAAAGGCATTATCTCCCAAGCAAAAGGTTACGTCCACTTCTGTTAATGATGCTGAAAATGAGGTTAAGCAAGATGAAGATGATAAATTACTAAACGAGATGGAGGAGCTGACGTATGCTATGGAACGGAAGAAGAAAAGGGAAAAGAAGCTTCTTGCAAAAAGGAAAGCTAAGGTTTGTCATCTTGCAGAGTTCCCTCTCTATTTCCTGCTCTCTTTGGGTTAAGGCTTATAGACAATTATGTATGGTGGTGGTTTTTTTATATAAGAATTGTTCAATTGATTTCAATTTGATGCTTGTTTTCTTTTGGAAATTTTGACTGCTGATTAGTATTTTTGCACTTAGGAATTGTACTATTTACTATATTATATGGAAAATGAATTAGGGCATGACTCCTTACAGTATGGGTGTCTAATTTTAGATTTCTACAACTGTCTACTACGTGCTATGCTTTGACTTGAAAAGGGAAGTGCATATTCTTGTAAGTGGTAACCTTCCCGTTGATTTGTGATATCTCACATCGGTTGGGGAGGAGAACAAAGTATTATTTATAAGGGTGTGGAAACCTCTCGCTAGCAGACACGTTTTAAAAATCTTGAGGGTAAGCCCGAAAGAGAAATCCTAAAGGGACAATATCTGCTAGCGGTGGGCTTGAGTTGTTACATGACTTGACCACAAATCGGGTAAGATGAGGTTTCATCTTTTATCGAATAGCAGGATAGAATTAAAGTACAGGTTGGTCAATCTAATATTGGGTTATGGAATCTTTTTCTCCACCGAATATAAATACTGAATATGACCGTGTCATCCCTAATCATTTAATATCTGATCGAGTGGCTATTTTTCTATTTCATAAAGGACAAAGCTAGGAAAGCGTTGGGGATGCAACTAGATGTCATGGAAGATGGTTATATTGATCACGAGTTATTCTCTCTTTCTAACATCAAGGTATACTTTCACTCCCTGCTAATCTGTTGTTTTCTTTCAACATTGCAAGTCTTCGTATCTTTGTCGTAAATTCATTTGCGATTGTATGTTAACCAGGGTAAGAATGATTTAAGAGTTGTTGATTCAACTGAATATGATGATGATAATGATGAGATGGGAGAACAAGAAAATGGTGTAACCAAAGAGGAAAACCATGGGTCTTCAGATAGTGATATTGACTCTGATGAAGAGCGCAGAAGGTTTTTTCTCCCTCTGCTTAATTCTGTTAACTTTCAGGACGAAGCAATGATTCTCTGCTTTTTGTTACTTTTTGTGATGCATAATGATGCTCCTCTTCCAGGTATGATGCACACATGGAGGAATTGTTGGACCAGGCTTATGAAAGCTTTGTTGCCAGAAAGGAAGGAAGTACAAAGCAGCGAAAACGTGCAAAAAAAGCCTATTCTGATGATGCCGAGCTGCTTAAGGTATGAATCTCTAGTGGTGAGGGCTTTTAGTGATGGCTAATTCTATTTATTATATGCTCACTGTGAGATCTCGCATCGGTTAGGGGGGAGAACGAAACATTCTTTATAAGGGTGTAGAAACCTCTCCCTAGCATCCCTACCATCCCTAGCAGACGCGTTTTAAAAACCTTGAGGGAAGCCCGAAAGGGAAAGCCCAAAGAGGACAATATCTGCTAGTGGTGGGCTTGGGCTATTACACCCACCGAGTGTGTTTGCTTTTGTTCTTTGATGCAGTTCATGATTTCTTGTCACTGGTTTGGTTTTTCTTTGGGACGATTTTTGTATGCATGTGCAATGTCCATCTTTCTATTTTCTATAGATTACTCGTTCATTTGGAAGTAGGAATTATAATAGGTAGCTTCATTCAACCATCATTCATGTGTTAGTAGAACGTCACACGATGCATATATAACCATCAATCACTGATAAAATATTATCCTCACGTTGGAGTTTGGCTTGTCTGCAGGAGGATGAGAGTGGAGGTGATGGTCCATCTGATTATGACTCTGATGAGAACCTGGTAGACGAGGATAAGAATCCACTGATGGTATCTCTTGATGATGGTGGAGTGCCAACTGAAGAGGAGATCGCAAACAAGTGGTTCAGTCAGGATATTTTTGCTGAAGCAGTAGAGGATGGAGATTTGAAGGAGTTGGTGGATAGCGAAGATGATATGCAGATTGATAGACCAAAAGAAAAAGCTGCTGTTTCCAAGGAAGCCAAACCAAATATTTCAAAGAAAGAAAGAGAGAAGTCGAAAACTTCAACAAATGCGAGAGAAACTGATAAAGAAGACGATGGATTCGAGGTAGTCCCTGCCCCGGCTACGGATTCAAGCGATGATTCATCTTCTGATGAATCTGAGGATGAAGATCCTGACACAAAGGCTGAGATATTGGCATGTGCAAAGAAAATGCTGAGGAAAAAGCAAAGAGAGCAGATTCTTGATGATGCTTACAACAAATACATGTTCGATGATACAGGCTTGCCCTCGTGGTTTTTGGATGAGGAGCGAAGACACCGACAGCCAATAAAGCCTATAACCAAAGAGGAGGTTGCTGCAATGAAAGCACAGTTTAAGGAAATCGATGCCCGCCCTGCTAAGAAGGTAGCTGAAGCTAAAGCACGCAAGAAACGAGTTGCAATGAAGAAACTCGAGAAGGTTCGCAAGAAGGCAAATTCCATCTCAGACCAGGCTGATATATCAGATAGATCAAAGAGGAAGATGATCGATCAACTCTACAAAAAAGCAGTACCCGAGAGACCCAAAAAGGAATTTGTGGTTGCAAAGAAAGGAGTTCAAGTCAGAGTTGGAAAGGGTAAAGTCTTGGTCGATCGACGTATGAAGAAGGACATGAGGAAGCATGGAATGAGCAAGCAGGGAAAAGGTTCAAAGAAGGGAAAGGGAAAGGGAAAGAACTCCAAGGCTCCAAGAGGCAAGGGAGGACCTGCTAAGGCTTCGGGGAAGAAGGGAAGAAAATGAAACAAATGAAGATGGAATACAGAGAGATGAAGCATTCTCCCAATTTAATATCTCTCGTGCAAAATTTTGTAGTTGATTCAATTTTGATGAATTTTCTTTGTCGATCAAGAGCTATTTCGTGGAAGTTCAACATAGCTTTTTAACTTAAAAATGCATTTTGTAGTAACAGATGAATGATAAGTTATTATAATCGCTAAGTGGACAAGACATTAATTATCATTCTAAATATCATGTATTTCTCATGGTTGGATTACGAAACAAACAGCTGCGTACCCGCTAAACAAAGTAGAGGGTCGTTATCTCTCTAAACAAACTGGTTGAGGTATTCTTCCACAGTTGTGTATTTAACATCTGAGTATAGCTCTGAAGCTTCCACTCCAAATGATGGTTCAATCTCAAAGTTGGTATGATCGCCCTTCACAAATGCAGTATGACTAATAGCCAATACTGTGTTTAGTGGAAATGGAGCCTCTGCAAAAGAAGATGAGCAAATACCAATATGTTTCAGTCTTTTTATTTAAGAAGGAAGCATGGTAGAATTGATAAATTGTTGTTTTGCCTAAACCAACCTTGTATGTTCTTCAATAGCTCCTCTTCAGGAACGTAGATCCGTTCAAGAGTCGTGCCAATTTTTTTCTCCCACAGCGAGACTAGCTCGTTAGTCGAGTAGATGTTGGCAGGAGGTCTAATGTACAAGATCTTATTGAGCGTTCTTGGATCCTCGATGGCTCGGATGGTGTACGTGCCAATGTCTTCTTCCTTGTTGTATATCACTTCAGCAAACAAGCAGACACAAATTAAATGAATATGAGAAACCAAATCCACTTCTCCCTTCAAGAAATTGGTCATGGATGAAGATGCTTCATATTGCAGTCAATTATGCATCAACATGTGGGTATGTTTGTAGAAGTTTGTGATTAAAAAGGGTAAAAAAAAAAACCAATGATCCACTAATATCTATTGGGTTTCTAGGAATGTGTTTATTTTGGGACTCCATTCAGCTCAAGAAAAGGAGATTATAGTGTTATGCAACAGAACAATCCAGCAGCTCATGAGATTACAATCAGTAAAGTATACCTTTGGGACTACCATCCCCAATGATTTTGATTTTGTCTCTTGGTGGATCGGTGGCTCCTGGCTGACAAAAGTTGCGAAGAAAGTAACCATCGAAGAAATTGCATACAACAAACGTATGGGGGATTCCCTCTGCTTCAATAGCCCTACGAATTTCAGCCTTAGCAGCAAACATTGATTTTGCCGGCTCCACTGCGTGGACACGATCCACATCGTTGCCAAATTCTGAGGGTAAGAATCTCTGTACCAAAAACATTTTAATGCTAAGAAATTTCCAAACACAAACTCTCACAGCAGAATGCTTCTGGCAGTAACGATAATCAATGGCAAACACAGAGAACAAATTTGGTAGGAAATGATAGTGGTGAAATGAAGGCTACCTTCACATTACCAGCTTGTTTGATAGCAGATATGATCTTATCTTGATTGGCTAACAGAGCCCGACCAACGGTGGATATCACCACATCAACTTGCTTTATTGCCTTAACCAGACTCTCATTGTCGAAGATATCGCCCTGCTCCAATTTCTCAGCGAATAAGCAAATCGAACATTATCACTTCCCAATACTATAACATGATCATCAGTATATACATCATTATTCGTTTCAGAGAAACCAAACAGAAAACGACCACTTCGAATTCGAACGATTTGAACTAAAACCTACCTCAGTTATTCGGGAACCGTATTTCACATTTCACATTTCACATTCCAGTAATCGATTCATTGATCCTCCAGAACATTTTCAACAATCAAACAACAAAATCCAGAGAAATAAAGGATAATGAACTTACGAAGAGGAAATTGACTCCCAAGCTCCTGAAATTATCGATAATCGAAGACTTGGCGGAGTCAGCAAGCGTGGATTCCCGAACCAATGCATAAGTTGGATGACCTGCTTTGGCGCTGGCTTCTACTATAAACTTTCCGATGTAACCAGTTCCTCCGATGATGAGAACCTTGAGCTTTTGCGCCATGGGACGAAGATTTTCAGCGAATAAAAACCTGATCGGAGCTGCGCCGGTGAACCGCAAATGGAACGAAGATGATGCTCGTACGATCCTTTCTCGTTGTATCAAATCCGTGCAAAACTCACGCTCACACATATATATACTTTTATTTATAATTTTTTAATTAATTGATAATTGAGGTATATTTTAATTGATAAATTAAATAATATATATTATATTAAATAATGGTCATATTATCGATAATTAATTTTTTTAAATACAAAAATATGAAAACTTAATTTTAGAAAAATCTCTTATAAATAAATTACTTTAAATTTTCCTTTTTTTTCCTCAAAAGCCAATAAATAAGATGAAATTAAACTCTTAAATTTTTTAAATTTTATATTTTCCATTAATTAAGTTTTTTTTTTTGAATATTTAAATTTGGGAAGAGCTTTATTGGGGGTTATTTTGGGAAAGGTAAAATGTATTTATTCCGAAAAATTGATTGAATTATTAATTAGATTTAGTAGTTAGTGAATATAGAGAATTTATTAATTTAACTTAATTTCAAATTTAGCTTAAAATTGAAATTTACAAAAATGCCCTTGCCTTGTGAGGAGATTTGTGGTTGGTGGGGAAGGACAGCCGCCGCCGCCGCCGCCGCCGCCGCCGGCTGCTACCTTGGTCCACCATGGCTAACTTCAAAAATCTCTTTTTGTGCATTGTCATCGACATAAGTGGAAGAGATCAATATTGAACGAATTAATAAGAATATATCGGTTAAATTTGACACCAATTATAAATTGACACATGTCTCAAATTTAATTTGCACCTAATTTAAATAAAAATTAATAGTTTTATTACATTACGATAATAATTGAATATATATTATTTTGTTCTCTCTTACTGGACAATGGTGGAGGAGCTTCTCTTGAAATGAGACGGAGCAGGTCGGAGCCAACCTCGACCGCCGATCATGTCTTTTGTGAAGAGTTTTGCAGCCTCATCCGTCGAGAGGCTGCGTGACCACACTACTCTTTTTGCTCTGTTCGCCCCTGGTCCGTAGCATTTGTATTCCCCATAGAACACCGTCCTATATGTTATGTAACACAAATTCATCTTTAGATTCTGTATTTCTTACTTATAAATACATGATCTTCTCCTTAATTAGCTAACGTGGGACAAAAACTAATAATTTAGAGTCGAGAGAGTATTGCCTTTGCTTGGTGTGATCTCCCCAGTCATTCCAGCCCTCTGGCACAACAACGTTGCTCATATGAGTGTAGCCGAACACAACTCTTGAGCAATCCCCCCATGGCCGTCCAAGTAAAGCCGATCCACTTCCTGTAATTTTGCACCCCAAGAACACGAACCCAGTGTTCTCCGCCACCGTGTTACGGTGTTGCGCTGTCATCGCCCCGCCTCTCTCCGACGTTGAGTGCAAATGACACTTCTACAATTCAAAATCGATATCTATTATTACAGACAAATATATTGTATCCATTTAATTATTACTCTTACTATTTATTACTCAATTGGTTTTAGCAAGAGTGTCTATGTATCTCTAAAAAAAACCTCGTAGAGAGAAGCTGCGTTTCCGCATATGAAATCGGTGGCGCCTTCGATGTAACAGTTCTTGAAGTAGTGTCTTCCGACGTCGTCTAGGAGGGTGTCTTGAAAGGATATGATCCGGCAGCCGTAGAAGGCGGCTCTGTCGGCGGAGACCCTCAGCGCCACCGCAATGCCGGTGGTGCCGTATGTGTTCTGGATGGTCAGAAAACGGCCGACGAAGTCCGCGGCGAAGATAGAGATCGCCGGAGATTGAAGTAAATCTCTTCCTTGGTTCCATGTGATTATGGTGTCGGAGGCTTTGCTGCCGCTCAATGTTATGAACGGCTTATCCTCCGGCACCACAATTTTCTCCCTGCTCAAAAAAAAAAAAATAATAAATAAATAAAAAATAAACCTGAACGGACCCAAATTTTCAACCAACTCGAGTCATTTCAAGAATGGATCCGACAAAAAAAAAAAAAAAAATAGCAACTTGAACCATGAACCGACCCAAATTTTCGAATTTTCAAAAAATAAACTCAACTCAACTTTTATAGTTTGGGCTAGGTAGTCTAGGTTAATCGGGTTCTCGAATCATGTGAAGACTCCTATTAAAAATTTCGGTATTCCGAGACTTTTAAGTTCTTAGGAAGAGTGATACGAAGCAGCTTGACTCACGCATGGTTCACAAGTCAAGCTCTAGAGGGACTAAGGTCAACACGTATTAAATAGCCCATCATCAATGGGAAGCGGGCAACGTGATGATGAATTATGATTAGTCATCAACTTATTTCGACTTATCCAAAACGACCAACCTAAACATAATCTATTCAATGAAAGTTTTCTCCCGATATGAACTAACAAAAACCCGAAAAAAACAAAAATCGACGCATGAAACATGAAAGAACACCAAGCTAAAAGAGGTTAAATAAGTATGGTCTAAACTCAAGCATAACTCAACGAATTGAAACGTATAATTCGAAAAACAAACCTATAAGTTCCGGGTTTGATCCAAATGAAAACGAGTTCATTGTTTCGGGATGGAACAGAATCAATGGCTTCTTGAATCTTCCTAAAATCTCCCTTTCCAGATTGGTCTACCCTTATCAGCCTCGCAGTGCTCATATCTGCAGGCGCCATCGCTATTAGCTTATTAAAATTACGAAATTAATTCAATTTCAAATTTCCCCTCACATATATATATAATAATTTGTAGCTTGGTTTAATGGCAAAAGCCCCATGTGCCCATGTGGGGATTTTCCTTCAATTCCAAAAATGTTATTTCATATCCAAGTTTGAATATTTATTTTCTTTTAATAGTATTATTTTTAATTCAATCTTTACTATAAAGTTATAAATTTATAATTTTAAAATAAATTAATGACGTGACGATTTAATAAAACCCATGAAAAAATAGAGTTACGTACCTTTTTAAAATAATAATTTAAAGATTTTTCGTATATATAATTTTGTTTCCAATATAATTATTTTTATTTTAATTAAATATTATTCTTATTTTCAATAGCAGACCAGTGACACGAAGATTTTCAGTTCTCTGCTTTGCTAATTGAGTTATACCGGCTCGACTTAGATGTGTTAATGAGTTGAATTAGATCGGTGCTTCCCGACAATAATTTTTATTAAATAATAAATTTAAAAAATTATTTATTCAAATTTTTATTTTTCAATAAAATTAAAATGTTAATAGGACAGAACGTCTTTTCTTTTTTTTTTTTCTTTAAATATTAAATTAAGAGAGAAAAAGTGGCATTGAAAACGAAGGAATGAAGCAAAAGAAACGCAGAAAAAATGGGCTGATTTCGTGAAGCAACAGGGAAATTATCAATATTGTTTATTAAGCTATATTTTAAAAGGGCGTGAAGATGAGGAAATGGGTTTGTCCCACATCGGCCAAGTCCAGGAAGTGCGAGGCAGGGATTGGCTATAAAAGGACGTAGAGATTTCTTAACAAATCATACCTTTCTCGGCCTTTTGGCTAAGATCAAGTGTAGTATCTGTTCTTATCAGTTTAATATCTGATACGTGGGCCATCGGCCCACATGATATTAAATTAATTTTTCAAGGGGGAGGGCCCATTAAGGTAGCTTGCTACCTGGGCTTTCGAGCGTCGCCCTAGCGTTGCACTACTGATTGGGCCTTGGCGCACCCCTCCATTATCAGCTCTAAAAACATTGTTTGTGGTTTACTGGATTTACTGAGAATGTTTATAATTTCTAAGACATTTTAATTTGTATCGGTATTGCCATGATAACAGCGAAAGGTTGTTGCGAATTAGTGAATATTGACCTTGCTTGTGTAGGTTAAAGAATTCTCTACTCAAACTACCTACCCTTGCGCACCTCTCGTTTGTAGAAGACATTGTAGAGGTGTAGAGGTATAATTGACTGTATGGATTTCGGTAGGGATTTCGGTAGTTAGTAGCTACACCACTCACGGAAAAGAAAATTTTGGTAGCTACACCACCCACGGAATTTAAAGAACCTAAAGGAGTATGGATGAAAATTTTGGTAGCTACACCACCCACGGAATTTAAAGAACCTAAAGGAGTATGGATCATATATTTTTCTCTGTATATCTTTTTTCATCCTACTCAAGTCCAAACCACTAGGACCCCTTAATTGTTCTAACTAAGGACCACGCAGATCCCAAAAACGCGGTCTCTTCCCCAAAAATAACTTCTAGTAGGTCCTTGAGTTGATCTAGCTCCAAGACGTTGGTCTCTAACTAGAAATGTAAATGCTTGAGCTTGATTCATCGTCAAAAGAAGACCGGGTTCGGTTCTATGCATTGGGATGAAGCGTAGAGATCCCTTTACCTTTGTTGTATCGAAATGATTTATCGTCAAAAGAAGAACAAGACTCCCATGACAAGTACTTCTGCTCCCAATAGCAAAGACTGAATGATTGCCAACTTATTGAGGATACGTTTGAGTGAAGGTATGTATATTCAGATATTCTCGACGTGAAGGCATGTCCTCGAGATGAAGGCAAATATATTCCAATCCAAAATACCCGAGTAATTGGTTATTGACATGAACCATCACTAAAAGATTGAAAGTTTGGAGTTAGATGCCATTCAAGTTCAATCCTTATTAAGTTATTGTAAAATGAAAGATTACAAGGGTTTAGGGTATTAAATACAAAATTGGAAGAAGAAAATTTCCTATCGAGCAATGGGCTGATGGGCCAACAAGACAACTCGGCTAAATGGGCTTTTATAATATTGGGCTCATGGGCTTTCTTTTTCTTCCATTTAACCCATCGGAATGCTTCTTCTATAAATAGCTCCTGCTACATCACAATTTTCCAAACCCTAAACCCTAAATCGGCTCTACTCTGCAACATCTCCGCCTCGTCTCCTAATTTTTTTGTTCGTGTTCATGAGAAGGCTGCGATGATGATGATTTCATATAATCTCGTTAATCCGATCTCAATGTGAGGATAAACGCTTATCCATTCTTTTATATCTGAGCGCCTTCTCTTTCTCTGAATTCATTTTTTTGTTGCTTTACTGTGTTTTCTGAACGTTTCAAGCATTTGACATAGCGGAGTAATTGGATCCATTCTATTCCGTCGTTTTTTTTATTTCTGATTTTAATTAACCATATTCGTTTTACTGTGTTCGTCATGATTCTATTTGTCAATTCTAGATCTATGCTGTTCGTTTTATTTTGATTTTTGAATATGTATTTCTATTTCGTATTTCGGTTTATGATTCTCTCATTAACAGTTTTTTACAAGGCTAAGTGTTCTTTCAGTCCTTTTTTAGTTTTAGTTTTTGTTTTCTAATTTTTTGTTTAGTTTTAGTTTTTCTCTCTTCAACTTTGTGTAGGAAATCTTTGAAAAAAGTAATACAAATTCATTCTTATAAAACCTTCGTACTTAGATGAGTATTGTAGTACCAAAGGAAGTTGAAAGAAAAGAAAAAAAAAACTGTAAAATATTTTTGAATAATTAGGATCGATTTTGGTATTGTTTCAAGATCGGCATATCTAATCATGGATCGAAAAAACAACGGGAGAGAATCTATTTGGTATTATGATCGATTTGGTATTGTGTATTGCAATGAATTGACTCTTTTTCTGGTTGATCCATGGATCGAAATATGATATCATCTGTCAAATATGATATCATCAACTATCAGGGTTTGAGATAAGAAGGTTTAACAAATAGAACTGCTTGCATACCTTAGATGAAGAAGAGAATCCACATTCCGTGGCTTGAGAGTACCACTGATTCCATCTTTTGTGTTTTGTTTTGTGGGTTAGGGTTTTTTATAAGTTCAGTTGGTGACTGATGGAGAAGCTAACTGCGGAGCCAACTCTTGAACCAAATTCAAAATTTATTCAGAGGCCAAACATAACCTATAGGGTATTTAACTTCCAGGCTAATCGTTTACGAGATTAAAACAAGTTTAGGTTTGTTACATCTGAGAAAATAATGACATATGAATGAACTATGAACACATTCAATCATAAAATACTCATCCCATGTAGCATTTTCAGACAAACAAAATCTTGATACTAAATTATGATATTACGAATGTAAGTCGTTAAGTGAACGGCGTGTCGGGCAAAGGAGCAAGTGAAATATGATTTTTCCAAGGGGTAGGCATTTGGCATATAGATAAAGTGGAAAAAGGAGAGAAGATAAGGTGAGACCCAAAATTTGGGACCAAAGAAAATGAAAGGACAAAACTATCTTTCCTCATCCATTGCCCCAAAAACACACATTTAATGAGATCTCTCCATCTCTTTCTTTGCTCCTCTCATCCATTTATTGACAAGTCTCCATCTTTTCCTATAAAACAAGAACAAATTTATTCATATCTTCTATGAAATTTAATTGCATTTCCAAACTAGAGACAAATAAATTATTCTTCAACTACCCACAAACGATCTATCTTCACAATTAACCGTTTTTATGTTCTTTATTTACTATAATGCTCTAGGTTTAGATTTTAGATTGATCAAGTTTTAGAATCTAGATTCGACATGTAACAGTCTAGAAATTAAGAATCTAGATAGCAATCCAAGCATTCCACCGCATCTAGTGTGACATGATAATGTTTTGTACTTGTATTTCTAAGAGTGAAGATTCTTTCCGACCCTTTAGAGAGAAGACTGTCACTACAAACCAACACGACCCACTAAAACAGAATGTACTGGGTAATAACTATTGGTCACTTTTATTTGGCTGCGGCCTTGGTGAATTTATTCACATATCCTTGGGTTACATTTAAAGATATTCTAAAATTTAAACTTTTGTTAAAAGAAAAAAAAAACAATAAAATTTTTGTTAACACAAATAAAAGAGATGGCACTAACTTATCTTCTATCAATATCTCTAGTTAATTTACATAAAACAGAGGAAAAAAAAGAAAAAAAAGAATATGGTATTCTAAAACATCAATCCATGAAATTGAATGTTTTGAATTCCATCATGAAACAGTCGTTGGATTTGAATGTTGCAACATGTTAACTCTCTTAAAATGGACCGACAACTTTGTCGTCTACAAATGTTTCCTTTTCATCTTCAATGCCTGGATATTGCTGCCACAGAAAGCTCGATAGCGACAACAATGGCGGCCCTCCTTCTTCTAAGCTCATACTGCAAACCCTTTGTAAATCATCTCCCCAAGTTGAACAGAGCTCCAATTGCTATAAAAAAGTAAAACCATTACAAAAAAAAAAAAAAAAAACAAAGAATTTGAAACAGAGAAAAAATTGAAACAAGAAATTACAGTAACAGAAGCTGAGCTGATCAATGGAGTTTGTGGGACTGTTACAGAACTTGAGCTGATTCCAAGCTCATTAAAGTACGATGAAGAAGTAGCCGTTTCCGGGGAGATTTCCGTCGCCGGAAACACCTGTAGAACATAAAGTTTTCAGCTAAAAATTCATAACTTGTCATTTTCTTGTCGGAATGATTATCTCTCTCTCACCTGTTTACAAAAAGGGTCATCGACATTGATGAAATCGAGTCTCGGATTCGCAGTGGCCAGCTTCATGGATAAGAACTGCTCGAAATTGAACGAAAACTCAAAAATTTTCAAAATTTTCAAGTAATTGTTCTTCAATTCAGTTTAAAATGAACCATCACCTCCACTTGTTGCTGAAGAGATTGAACATAATTTATAATTTCATCCAGCATTCCAGCTTTTCCTGCAATTTTGTTACACCCAGGTACCAAGTTCTGCAAATACTTCATTCTCTCACTTATCTTCTCTCTCCTCGCCTGCCCATATAAAATCTTCGTCAATATCTTTATTAAAAGAGGTCAGATGATCGAATCTCTCGAGTTGATTCTTACTCGTTCTGCGAGACTGTGGCTATCTGTAGCTTGGCCTGGACGGGCTCTTACATGAACGTAATCAGAAGCTCTTGAACTCTGTTTCGACGTCTCTGTTTCCTCTGTTTCCTCTGTTTCCTCTGTTATCTTTGATTGTTGTTGTTCTTCTTCTTGATTATTTGGTTTGATTCTTTTGTCAGATTCAGCATTACCCAGTTTGGATTTCAGTTCCTTGTTCTTGTTGGCCTTTCTCTTCTTCGGAATCTCTCCGACCGCCACGGAGTTCGCCTGCATCAAGATATGAAAAAATGATTAAATGGTAAAAAGTTTAAACTTTTCTGGGTTTGGAGATCACCTCCGGCGGTGGCGAACATGTCTCGGTGGAGGAGAACTCGTACTTGGTCAACTCAGGCCAACCTCCAGGTGCAAGCAGATCCTGAAAATCATTGACCCGGCTCGCTTGATTCGAGACGGGCGACAAGCTGTGGCAGTCACCGTGGCTTCGCCGCCATTTGACTGGAGTCCTCTGTTTTTCCGACATTGTCATCTCCGACTTCGACAGCATCTGGCCGGCCGGCAACCCGGAAAAGTTAATGGGGTTTGGTTTTTTGTTGAAGAAAGTGAATAAAACGGATGAGATATATAAATAAGGGAGGAAGGAGGAGGAGGAGGGGAAGGGCGGCAGTGGCACCGAAATCTGACAGCAACGGCCGACGTTAACACTGAGAGAGCGGACGCCATGGGCGCTGGGGCCGGTGACATGACGGCCACGTGGTTATGTGAAAAGCTTTTTTTTCTTTATTTTAATAAAAAACATTAAATTTTGTCGGAGGAGATGTCTGTGGCAATTTTTTTTTAACGATATTATCGGCTTTGGCCCGTTTAGACGTTTTCACTCCTACGAGGAATGCTTCGTTTCCCTCCGATCGATGTGAAATCTCACAATCCACCTCCCTTAAGAGCCCAACATCCTCGCTGCACATCCCCCGGTATCTGAGTTTGATATCATTTATAACAGCCCAAACCCACCGCTAACAGATACTATCCGCTTTGGCCCGTTACATATCGCCGTCAGCCTCACGATTTTAACAAGTGTATGCTAGACAAAGGTTTTTATACTCTCCTCTCTAATAAACGTGGGATCTCACAATCCACACCCTTGGGAGTCCGGTATCCTCACTGGCACACCGCATACGTGTCTGGCTATGATACCATTTATAACAACTCAAGTCCAGTGCCAGCGGATAAATATGAAACGAGGTCTCAAATCAAGTAATAAAAATTAATCAATTCAAAGTATTGCACCTATTTTGAGGTCGAATCTCTCTAATTATGGGTCTCGACCCCACCTTTTAAAATAAAAACCAAAACGAAAAGTAATAAGGTGTAAAAAGTTCATTGTTTGACCTAAAATTTATAAGATTTGACTTAGTCGTAAATAAACCAATAGAGAAGTCAGAATTTGAAATTTGGGGATGGAAAAGGACGGATGGATTATGATAACATGGTGTGTTGGCCAAGCCTTTTGGTTTGACAACTACTTTTGGACTACAAAAAGAATACAAACGACCTCGTTGAAGATCGGTGTGTTCAAAACATTCGATGAATATCAAATCAACTCAACTCAATTTACGGGCCTTAGAGGGTGATCTGGGTTGTTTTCCTCTCGACGATGAACCCCATTATCTCATTGGCCGACCTTTACGTATGTTATTTTGAGATCATATCTAGTATTCAAAATTTGCCTCGATTTGGTACCTAAACAGTGCTTTACCCCTAGATATCCAATAACGGCTGTGCCTCAGCGCATTTCGAGGAGAACCAGCTAGTTTTGAGTTCGAGCTGCATTTCACTCCTAACCACAACTCATCCACTGATTCTTCAACATCAGTCGGTTCAGACCTCCACTTAGTTTCACACAAGTTTTATCTTGGTCATGGATAAATCATCTAGGTTCGGGCCCATAAACAATGATAATTGCCCCATGAAGACTTGCTTTCACTACGACTCTGGTGGGTTCCCTTAACCAAACCACTGTTTATGAGTCACTGGCTCATTCTTTAACGGGCACGCGATAATTTAATTGCATAATTATTTCCATTAATCATTCTCAAACAATTCTTAAAATAAATCTAATAAATCTTTATTTTTTTAAAAAAAAAGTAACTCATCAAAAGAAATATTGTATGTTTAATTGAATTGGGTAGGATTCATTACTTTATACCGTGATTATTTATGAGAAATTTATCAAATCATAGAGACTGTTACGAGATTTCATCGATGAAATTCTAACTTTTTCGAAACTCGTCTCACCGTCCTGAAACTAGGTTGACTCGGCTTTCGAAAACGAACCCGAAAATTAAAGTAACGAGGATGGGAGAGGACATGCATCCACCATCCTCTAAGATCTCCCATGATTCAAAATAATAGACTTATTTCCAACTACTTTTTTATTTTATTTATTATTATTATTATTACATCAAATGTGACAAAGATCTTGATTTAATAATTGGTCCTATTGTAATAAATATTTAAATGAAGGAAGAATGGGACAACTCACTTTATAGTACAAACCAAGATTTTTGCTTTTAGAGATCAATAATGCATTCATTGCAAGCAAGGTAAGGTTAGATCCGGTCGAGTTGAGACAGTTTTTGTTCAAATTGTAATTTTTTTTCTAAATTAAACTAATCCTTATTAAATAATGAACCTAACCGAACTCAACCCAAGCCTACCGTAAAATATTTGGGTTGGGTTGGGTTGGGTTAGTTCGGTTGGATGATGAAAGTTCCACATCGGCTAATTTAGGGAATGACATTGGTTTATAATCAAGGAATACTATCTCCATTGGTACGAGGCATTTTGGGAAAGCCCATAGCAAAGCCATGAGAATTTATGCTCAAAGTGGATAATATCATACCATTGTGGAGAGTCCGGAAACATCGATAAGTTCAACATCTTAAACATAGACTCGAATTCTTGACACTTTGGTAACGTAAACTTTTATTGATAAATTCCATGTCTTATGGATATCCCTTTCCGTCACCATCTGGTGGTCCTAAGAGGAACAAGGGAAAAAAAACCTAATGATTGTTGTTGCCTTGTTTTTCGATGTGTTTGTTTCCTGTACAAAATAAATGAAAAAAATCAATTCATACTCTTAAACTTGTGATTACCTATAGAAAGGTTTCGTTTCCCTCCCTCTCCAACCGTCCAGTGTCTGACTCTTATACCATATGTAATGGAGATAGTATTCCTCACTTATAAATTCATGATCTTCCACTAAATTAACCAATGTGGGACTCACTCTTAATAATCCTCGTATATTATAAAAATACAGTAATATACATTTAAAAGTATTTAAATATTCTTCCACGTGATTCTTCGTATATTTATATATATTATATTTTCTATCAAATGGATTTTTTAATTTAATTTTTAAATAGTTTATCTAATTTGACTTTGGAATAAAATTACATTAAACAAATTCATAATTGATTTGGTTTAACCTTCAAAATTATTCTTCATTTCTCATCGATTTAGAGAATTAGAGAATCCATGGCGAACATTTTCCACGTCTACCACCGGGTTCTCCGGTGGCTAATGAAGGTCGCCGGAGTCCGGCAAGAACTGGTCCAGATAGAACCAGGAACCACGATGAATTTCTGGGTACCCACCAGAAACCCGAAAAAAAACCGGAATCCACCGGTGGTCCTTCTCCATGGATTCGCCGGCAACGGGATCATGACGTGGCAATTTCAGGTGATGAATTTGGCCAGAAACTACGCCGTCTATGTACCGGACTTTCTCTTCTTCGGCGAGTCGGTGACGGACCGGGCGGAGAGATCGCCGGAGTTTCAGGCGGAGGGCGTGGTGAAGGGGCTGAGGAAGCTGGGGGTTGAGAGGCCGTGCGTTTTGGTGGGGTTTAGCTATGGGGCAATGGTGGGGTTTAGGCTGGCTGAGATGTACCCGGATTTGGTGGCGGCGATGGTGGTCACGTCGGCGCCGACGGCGTTGACGGAGTCGCTCAGCCGTGTGGCGCTGCTGGAGATTGGGTATAAAAGTTGGTCGGATTACTTGATTCCGAACACGGTCAACGGTGTGAAATCCTTGTTTGAAATTGGTTCCTTTGACTTCCCGGCGCTTCCTAATTGGATTATGAAACATTATTTGGAGGTATTTTTAATTTTTTTTTATAAAATTAAAATGTATTATTAATTTTTTTAAAAAGTTTAGAGATATTTTTAAAACAAATTATAAGATCGTCACAGGCAATGGTTAAGTACAGAAAGGAACAAGCAGAACTTCTTCGAGCATTGGTGGTACCCGATGATTTTACCATCTCTCAATTCCCACAGGTTTAATTTAATTTTTTATTTTTATAAAATAGAGGAATATATATGTATTTATTTATTTATTTGGTTCATCAACAATTTAATCTCATTTTTTTTTAAATTTTTTTGCTCAATTTATTAATACAGAAGATGCATATCATATGGGGGAGAAATGACAATTTATTTAATATGCAAATTGCTTACAATATGAAAGAGTAAGTACTCTCTCTCCCTCTCTTTTAATTTTTTTTTTTAATTCTTAATGTTATTTATTCTTTATAAATAAATAGCGAGAAAAAAGCCTAATTTTTTTTTCTCCTTTTAGTTATATAAGTCAAGCATATAATATGGTTATGTTGAAGGGAAATGTCGGGTCTGTGAGAGTCTTACATTGGTTGGGGAGGAGAATGAAACACTCTTAATAAATTAAGTGTGTGGAAACCTTTTCCTAGCAGACATGTTTTAAAGCCTTGGAAGTCCGAAAGAGAAAATCCAAAGAGAATAATATTTGTTACAAATAGTATTAGAGCCAAACACCAGACAATGTGTCATCGAGGTTGCTCTTCCCCGAAGGGGGCAGACACGAAGCAGTGTGCCAGTAAGGACGCTGGGCACCAAAGAGGGTGGATTTAGTGGGGTCCCACATCAATTGGAGAAAGAAACAAGTGACACACTGTGCTCCAAAGGGGTGAATTGTGAGAGTCCCACCTTAGTTGAGGAGGAGAATGAAACATCCAAGAGTGTGGGCAGATGCTTTTGAAGCCTTAAGCAGAAGTCCGAAAAAACCCAAAAAAAATAGTATTTGCTAGCAGTAGGCTTAGGCCGTTACTGGGACGATAAATTAAATTTTGACGTTTTGACTTTTTGGTGGAAATTACACAGGCAATTTGGAGGAGAAACAAGATTGGATTGCATAGAAAAAGCAGGCCATATTGTGCCAATGGAGCGCCCATTCATCTACAACAAATACCTTAAAAAATTTCTTCGTTCCTTGCAAACCCATCAACAATAAACATTCACTACATGTATTTAATTATTACATTTCATTTTATTTTATTTCAAAAAATTAATAATTTAATATGTGTTCGGGTAAAAATGACAATTCCCATATCAAATTTGGTGCGCGTAAAATGTATCATTACTTTATGTCGTATCAGCGGTTCATCGTATTTCTGCGTCTGATTGAATTCTAAACTGAATTAAATTATGGAATGTGTCTACAGAGTTGTTTGGTTATTTTAAAAAAAAATATTTTTTGTAATTATTTCTCTAAAATTATGTGTTTGAACGTTTTATTAAGAGATTTTATAATTTTTCTTTTGAATTTATAGAGATGATTATCCTTCAAACATTTAATTCATAAAATTATAAATTTGCACCCGTGTGAATTAATATTTTTTAATTAGAATTTAACAGAGAGTATATATTAATATGGTTTTTAGTTCGTCGTTTAATTTATTATTATTATTATTATTATTATATCTATTCATATACATATATGAAAAAGAAAATAATTACAAATGATTATCTTAAAAGAAAATTAATAATTGGAATGTGTACGTAATTTTCAAATTTTTATTGAAATATTCAAATATTTAAAATTAAAAATCTAAGCCCAAGCCCAAATATTTGAGTAATTGGGCTGGACCGAAACTACTTGAATAGACGGCCCACTTCAACTTTCGTGTTTCAACCAACCAACCAACCGCCATAGAAAAACCCAGAAACTTCTCGTCTTCACCGGCGATCAGTTCAAAGAATTGGGTTTTGGCACATCTGGAGAAGCGGGTAACATTTCCTGTTCTATTTGATGTTTTTTTCTCGATTTCTCTTTGAGCTGCCGATGCTTTTGTTAGTACGGCCGTAGTCGAGGTATCATCTATCTTGTTTATGCTGTGTTGCTGAGCTTTATCTCGTTAGGTCATGGCGAATCTGATTTTGGAAACAGATAGCCGTAATTCGAACTGGATTTCTTCTTTTCAAGTCCATTTTGCTTTCGATTTTTGGTTATCGCGACGAATATTCACTGTTTGACTTCCGATTACATTGTTTTTCTTCTTCGATGTTTTTCACTTTATCGGGAGTTGGTTTGTTTAGGATTATTAGAAGGGAATCTCGGCGTAGATCAAAGTTTTAGGATTATTGTATCACGTATTTGTTTTTAGGAAATAGTTGTAGCAGTGAACAAAGAAAGGAACAAACAACTGACGAGTAATTCAAGAGACAACAGTAGTGCCCCTAATTCGAACCCTTTTGCATCTCACTTCCCCTTTATGATCAAATACAATGAACTTGCATATTCACTCAATACATGAACTTACCCTCCTCTTGTCTTTTTACTGTCTCTCTGAAGAACTATTGAGGGTCTGTCAAATTGATTCTGTCACTGAGATTGGTTTAGAAAGAAGCTTTCATGAGATTAGCCTGTTTCCTTATGTCCCTAGTAGATGCGTTTTAAAAATCTTGGGAGAAAACCAGAAAGGAAAAGCCTAAAGAGGACAATATTTGTTAACCGTGGGCTTGAGCTATTGCAAAAATAATCTTTCGTTGGGAAAATTTCAAGAAACATAATAAGGGATTTATTGTGACGAACTAGCATCGTTTACCTTGACAAATTTCCACATAAACTTTGCAGTGCTAAAGGAGTGAAGGTTTTCTTGTTAGTCACCCTTTAGCCATCAGTCACAACTTCACCAGATATGTAGTTCTACATGCTTTCTTCTCTGCTTAGAACTATGTTCTGCTTAGCTTAACTTGTAATAGACCTAACTCAGCTCTAGCATATATTGTTTTTTTTTTTTAGCTTTCCCTTTAGGTCTTTCCCTCAAGGTTTTAAAATGCGCTCATTAGGGAGAGGTTTCCACACCCTTCTAAGGAATGGGTTGTTCCCTCCACTAATTGATGTGAGATCTCACAATCCACCCCTCTTGGGGGTCCAACATCCTCGCTTGCACGTCGTCCTGTGTTTGGCTCTGATACTATTTGTAACAATTCTAACCCGCCGCTAGCATATATTGTCTTCTTTGAACTTCCCCTTCAAGGACTTCCCCTCAAGGTTTTAAAACGTGTCAGAGGTTTCCACATCTTTACAACCAACTAATGTGGAATCTCACATAACTTTTCTAGTTACTCGTGTATAGCTAATTTATTCCTTTTGTCTTCCTTTCAAACTAGGTTCAAAACCAATGGAACAACAGAAAGAAAAACCATCAGCTGCAGCAAACCCACCCATCACTTCTTGTCGAAAGAAGAAAAACGAAGAAGCTACATTCTTGGAGGACTTGAAGGATCACATCGACGAGTTCATTCACGCATCGATGGACGAACACAAATCGTGCTTTAAGAAAACCATCAACAAGGTATATACTTCCAATTCCTTCACTGTGCATCTAAAAGAAGTAATCATGTTTGTGATACATGTGGTGGATGTGTTCATCTAATACTTCCAAAAACTCATTTGATTGGGTGCACAGATGTTCCGTATGTCTAAAGTTGTGGCAGATAAGAATTCAGAGACAAGTGGAGTTGAGAGCTCTCTGCCTCTTAGAACAACAGTATCAGAATAAATTCTCTTTTTTCCTCTGTTCTAGGATACTCTCTCTCCATCTTCAACCAAATCCTTGTACTTTGGATCTTTTGTTTTGCTTTATTTCCACAGTTTATACCCATTGATACTTATTTTTCTTTTTTGATTCTTAAGTTCTTGTTTATCTCCTCATGCGCACGTTTTTTCTTTGAGTTCAATCGTTAAACTATCGACATTTGAAAGGGTAATTAGGAAAGTGAAAATTTAGCTATTGCCTTCAAGATGATTCTATATCCTATTATACAAGTGTGAATTAGTGGTTTTCTTTTCTAAAATGCAAAAAATGTAGACTATCGAACCTTTGGTCCCTTAACAGCCCGAGCCCAAGTAAGAACTTTAGACTATGACCATTTTCCACCCGAACTAAACATGAATCTTTCGATTCATTTGGCAACATTCTTGTGTATTGCGTCTTTGCTTCAATCTAGGTCAACAAAGGCAATTTCATTTCATGCCGACTCAAAAAGGAGAGGGTAGTCCTTGCTTATGAAGAATTTCCTTCAACTATTAGTGAAAAATAACGAAGGTCACACGACCTAACACAATCACCTATTTACCTCGTAGAATCAATTTTACCTCGTAGAATCAAATTTAGTTTGAGTAAGTCTTATAGGATTTAATTTTGAAATAAAAACATAAATTAAATTCATCCTCCAACATTAATTAGCCTTTTAGTTAGAAAAATGAACTTCTAAAAAAAGAAAAAAAAAAACAAATAATCACATAGAATTGCAGGTTTTGATTCTTGAAGACTTCCAAATAGCCATCCAATCTTTGTTCTTCCTCATCCCACCCCCTTCCAAGTTGCTTCCAATTTCAACCATTTTAGCCCAGCTTCATATTCCTCATCCTGCAATTATTATTAAACGACTCAACTTCGTCATGTTTCACCAATTTAATCATAGCTCAATTGTTTAAAATATTATATCATATATATCTTCATTATATCATATATATCTTCGATTAAACAGCCACTAATATAATTTAATTTAAAATTTTGAAAACTTAATTATTCAAAGAGACTAAGTCAAAGATAATGTTTTTTTTTCTTTCATTTATGAAAGAGAAGACTCCTCATCTACGCATATAGGTGTTCATCAACAGTTCTTGCCACTTTTTTTTGGTTAAATATTTTATTTACAAAAATAAATTATTTTAGATATTTATTTGAATTTTATAGAGTTTTGAGAGTCCTTTTCTCAGTGACATTTTTTAAAACAAGATATTTTTACCATTTTCATTTTGCACCTTAAATTTTTTTTTTTTAATTTCCAAAATTGGTCAAATTTAAAACTAATACTACAAAAAAAAACATTTTTTTAGTAAGAAAAAAATCATAATTTTTAAAAATTAAATAATAATAGTTTTTATTTTTGCAAAAGGAGCCCCTAGTCTAATTTGTTTCAAAGCAATGGATATTTGTGAGAAAAGAAAATATCAACACTAAACGATTAATTAAGTTTGCTTTTAGAATAAGGTTAGGTAACCAATTAACATATTATAATATTAACGTTGTAATTATTGCTATTAATCAACTTTGAAGAGGGCACGTGACTGGAACATAGTTTAACGGTTATGAACAAAAGTACGTTAACGGTTATGAACAAAAGTACGTTACGGAAGAAGTACCTTTGTTCTTGACCATTGATGTTATCATGGGAGGTTCGAGGGGCAGAAGAGGAGGAGGAGGTGTAATTAGGAAATGGGACGAGGCCAGATTCAATGTGCTTAACATCCTCAACGAGAAGCTCGAAATGTCTCTTGACTTCATCGACAGTCTTGTCGCCAACGGCCTTGGCGACATTGAGCCAGCGATCGGGCGTGTCCTTGTCAAAGACAGCCAAGGCTGTTTCAAAGGCTTTGTTTTGGTTGGGAGACCATGAGGTAGAGTCATGAGAGGAGGAGATGGAAGCCATTGATGAAGGATTAAGTGAGGGAGGGAGAAGAGTTGAAGAAGGAAGGGATTTATAGAGAAGGGAAGAAAAGGGAATGGGAGTGAGAATTTTGAATGATTTGTTTGCTTAGGAACCACAAAATGGAAAGAGGGAGAGAACACAAAGATGCACCATTTCTCTCTCCTTTCGGAGCGGGTTTCATCCGATCTATATCGACCGTCGGAATCAAATTCAGATCATATTAGAGGGGCATAGCGGCACCGTCACCTGACGCCATTCTCGGACATAATAGCAGACTAATAGGGTATATACCTGAAATCAGACAGACTCTTCTTTATATAATTAAATTTCGTAATAATATATATATATATATTTTTTTTTAATGTTAAATTTTAAGTTATATAAATGGTTAAACATTAAAAAAAAAAGGATTTTGTGATAAAGACGCGAGGATATAAAGAACGAATTGTTAAACGCAAAAGCAAACCCCAAAATCGTATTAAACAATTGGTGTTAAAGCAAAAATCGTTCAAGAAATCGAACGCAGAGTAGCAGAGGCCCTGAAGAAATGGCCGCAACTCCACACGCAGAAACCCAGATTTTGCAGGTTCAAGGGTTCTTTCAGTGAAAGAAGATGAACTAAAACCCATTTTTGAGGCTAGCTTCTTCATCCTTTTCTGTTTTATTTTCATTCTTAGTAGTTTATCTATGGGCCCAAATTCAGAGCTGAATCA